ATTGCATAAAAATTTAATGGTAAATTATACACTACCATACCAGATTATTAATTCTATGAAAATAAAATGAAAATGAGAATTTAAACTTGATAAGTCCAAAAGCATCAAAGTTGCTAAATTAAAGGCTTGAACAATTCAGGATTTAATCTTATTTTAATTGCACGCAGTTTGGTTTTCATTCCTTACAAACTAATTTATTACACAAAACCATAAAACGCACAAACGAACCATAATTTATTACACAAATAGAGGAGATAAAACAGGTTGTTCTGAAAACAGGGGTAGCTGAAAAGGAGGCGCTGGAATTTCAGCTCTCAAGAGAAGCCCTTGAAGCCCATGAAGAAGCATCTCGAACCTAAAAACAACAATTAAAGGTGCTCTCCTCTGTTATTTTCCAGTTAAGTAATACTCATAATTGAACAAGACAACATAAAGTTGTAAACAAACCTAAGACATACCTTCCAAGGGATCAATCCTAAAAGTTCAACTTTCTTCGCAGTCTAGCAGCACTCACTGTTATCACCAACAAAGTGCTGACACAATCAAGCAGAGGCAGCCTTTCAAGTTGCTGAGGTAGACCTTCATATAGTTGGACAGCAAGAAGCAAACATGTTTCCAGGGATGATCTATCTTGAGAGCCAAAACTCCCACAAAGCCAAAAGCCATTCCGAGTTTCATACTCGATTTAAACCCTTTCCAAAATTCATCTTTGTCTTGTTGATTGTATTTAACACCATCATCTATCAATTTTTCATCACCTGGGCATGATGGTGTTAGAGGTGGCCCACAAAGTGTAGGATTACCAACAAATGCAGAAGCATTAAAGGTGTCCATTTGAGTGCTGGTTGGAATTTTCCCTGAAAAGTTGTTATATGATAGGTCCAATTTACTGAGAAAATATAACTGGGACATGCTTGGAGGAAGTCGGCCTGAAAGCTTGTTGTGTGAAAGATCAAGTGATTCCAATTGTCTCATCTGCCCCATATCTGGTGGAACCCTTCCAGTCAAATAGTTTCTTGATAAATTCAATTGATGCATTTCAGAAAGTCTCGACAATTGGATTGGAATTTCTCCTGTTAATTTGTTACTTGAAAGATCAATGGTCCTTTGAAATGAGAGATCTTCACAAATATATTCTCTTCCTTTCCATATAATAGGTACTTTGTGAGCATATCTTTTTCCTGTCCATATAGATGCTATGTTGCCAGCATAGCCTATATAGGGGAAAAGGGGTCGAGCTACAATGTCTTTTCTGGCCAAGGCAGTTAGATTACCAATGCACCATGGTATGTGTCCGGAGAGATTGTTGTTACAGAGGTCCAGTAGCAGAATATTTGTCAACCGGCATATCTCTAATGGGATTTCTCCAACAAAATAATTGGATTTTAGGAGGAGGAAACTTAGTGAATTTGACATTTCTCCAATCCAACCAGGTACATTTCCAGACAATCTATTATTACTCAAACCCAGAAATTGCAATTTACTGCAGTTCCTTAAAGAGCTAGGAATTTTCCCAGAGAAGCTGTGGTTTTGCAAATCAAACGTTTCAATCAAAGAGAGAGATCCCACAGAGCTCAAAATTTTTCCAAAGAAATCATTGTTAGCCAAATTTAGAAACTGCAGGCTTGACCAACGCTTCATACAATCGGGAAGCTCTCCAGATAGTTGATTGCTTGAAAGATCGAGGAAGTTGAAGGACATACCAATAATTGCACAAAGGGAAGAAATTGACCCATTAAACCTATTTGTTGAGAGGTTTATGTGCGTGGTATTAGCAGGAAATGATGGTAATGTACCCTCCAAATGATTTCCACTGAAATCTATCTTAAGGGCATAAGAATCAGATGAAAAATTCCTTGACAAATCTGGAAGAATTCCACTGATTTGATTGGAAGAAAGATCTATGAGTAGTGCTGTAGAAGGCAGAGTACTGAACCAGACGGGGATGCTTTCTAAAATTCCAGCTGAAGAAATATTAAGAACCCGATAATTCCTTTGGGTCTGTAACCAGCTTGGGAAAGCGGGGCCCAATTTGCATGACCCTAGATGAATATATTTCAACTGGAATGGAGGAATCCAGTCACGGCTGAAATTGATCCTCAGACGATTAGAAGACATGCTCAGGTACAATAAATTAGATAGTGTTGAGAAGTGTTCCTCAGTGATCACCCCATTAAAAGAATTGAAAGAAATATCTAAAATCTCAAGCTTTGACAGGATTTTGATACTTTTGGGTATAGTACCACTCAGTTGATTATATGAAAGATCCAAGTATCGCACTGACGATAAGCTACCACTCCAAAAGGATTTTGGAATCTTTCCTTCAAATTGATTATTCCAGAGAGAAAGCTTTTCCAGAAGAGCCATGTGACTAAAAGTTTCTGGAATTGGACCTCGAAATTGATTAGAACTCAAGTAGAGACTAACAAGGCTGTTGCTAAAGTTGAACAACCATTGGAATGTAGAAGCAGTCAAATTGTTGCCGCTTAGACCAAGGTGAACGAGAGAAGTACTAGAAGAATTAATTATGGGGAAATACTGGGGAATGACATCTCGAAGATTACATCTAATTAGAGACAGGTTAGTTAGATGAGGGAGCTTATTAATTACTTGCAGCCAGTCATTGTTGACCTTACTAAGGTCGATTTCACTCAGATAAAGGTATTGCAAGTAAGAAAGACGAGAGAGCCACTCAAGATTTTTGACACTGTTGAAGTTGTTATAGCCAAGATCAAGATATTGCAGACTTGTGAGGTTTGCAAGCTGACTAGGAAGAGATCCACTTAAATTACAATTATAGAGGTCAAGATGTTGTATTTTGTTGAGTGAACTGATAAACTCTGGAATGTGGTTTAAGTTGAAATTATTCCCACTAAGGTCTAAATAAATTAAATGCTGCAACTCAAATAAAGAAGGACTAAGGTTACCTCTTAAGATAAAATGACGGTCATATGAATACTTGGTTAGATTAAGTATAGTGACGTGCCCAGTTGTGTTGCTACATTGAACTCCTTCCCATTCACAGCAATTCTTTTTCTCTTCTTCACTGCCCCATGAGGAAGGCCATCCATGTTCATTAACCAGACCTTGCTTAAATGCGAGTAGAACTTGTCTTTCACTCTCTATGCACTTAACTCCATCATCAGCTGTTGTTGAATTGGATCCAATTGAAGTTTGCATATGTAGTAAAATCAGGAGTGCATAGACAAGATGAAGGGACCCTGCACCCAGAATCTTCATTTTGAAAGTGATGAAAACAAAATCAAAGATGAAGGCGAACCAAAATGAAAGAGTGTATCAGGGAAATATTGTAGACATATAACTAAGGTTTATTTGGTAATGTTTGATGGGTTCTCAAAAGCATTCTAGCTACCTATATAGAACTTCAGCGAAACATATTAAAGGCTGCTGAAGGGCACATCAAAGAATATTAATTTACCGTAGGTAGAAGGAGAAGATTCAAGGAAGATACCAGTATAGACAATATGATTTGTGTGAAATGATTTTGTTGAACTCGTGGGTAAATTATTTGGACTACGATTCAATGCACCCTACAATTTAGATTTAATTATTTTAATTATGATTCAACGTACACTAAAAATTTAAGTTTTTTTTTTTTAATGTTTAGCATAAACAAAAATTTAAAGCTAAGATAGTCTTTTTATTGTTATTATTATTCATTTAATTTCTCATCTTTTTCATTTGCTAGAATTATTCTCATGTCATTTTGTTAGTGTAGCGAATGGTGTGCAAGCATTGTAAGGAAAGCTGATGGAAGGAGAATTCATGGAAGGAGAATAATTTATGTGATCTTTTACTTGACATCCTGTGATAATTAATTAGAAGGACCCTATCTCCAAAACCATGATTTTTGAAAGTGAAAAGAACAAAATGAAGATGAAGCTCAACCAAACTGAAGACTGTGTCAAGGAAATTTAATCTTTTGAGTTGGTGTCTGCTCAGTTCTCAAAACCATTCTGCTCTACTTGCATATAACTGCAGGGAACATTAAAGAAATAATAAGGAGAAGGCATTAATTTGGAGTTGGGTGGGGTGAAGATTAAAGGAAGATACCAGTTTGACGAATTCTAACAAAAAGGTAAGGTGGACCTTCACAATTCAACAATACATGCAAAAAATGAGTGTGTGGAAGTTGGAACACGCTCAAGTGAAAGAAATGGAATACCACTGACCTGTTAACTTAATTACCTACTCTGGTCCCTCGTGGAAATACTAGTCAATAAACTAACTTTGAAAATCTTGTTTCCTGGAAGCATCCTATTAAAGTTATTGAGAATGCAACAGAGAAAAGAAGACTGACCTTTGATTTTACTTATAAGCAGAAGCCCCTTAAATCCAAAACCTAAAAAAAAAAAAGAAAAAAAAAATTACTAGCATGATTTCTATCTAATTTATCTCATTTTATAATTTGATTAAGGAATAGCCATTCTATCAACTAAACATGTCAATAAGAATAAGAGCATTAAACTTGCAGAATTCAGATTTCAGTCTTATTTCTGTTGCAGCCAGCTTGTTTTTCATTCCTTACAAACTAAATGCTGGAATCAAACAGGCAAAACACCAAAATGATAGAATAAAACACACAAATTATAATTTAGCACACATAAATCAGAATTCAGATTGTAGTCCTATCTAGTTTCATAGCAAGCTGCAGTTAGCTCTCCTTACAATAGAAGATGCAAACCACACAAACAGACTTTGATTTGTTATTTTTTATTATCATTGCACCAGCAAGACAGAATTGAGAAGTTGAGGGCTCGAAGTGTGAAGAAGCATACTGATACTTAAAACAACCCCCCAAGGTGATTTCCTCTCTTATTTCCAGTGAAGTACTGCAAAATGATTGTGTGAAATGGTTATTTTGAAATTATGGGTGAACGTAATTATTTGGACTATGATTGTGTGACAAAAAATTACTTATTTGGACAATATTATTAAAAGAACCCTCTAATTCCTGTCTTATTATGTGTTTTAGCATAGAAGAAATTATAAAGGTATGACAGTCTAAGCTAAGGAAGATGCCAGTTTGGAAAATTTTAACAGAAAGGTACACTGGGCCAGATAGTTTGATCTCAGAATTCAACAATACAAATAACTAGAAGTGTGGAAAACGCTACAGTCAACTTAAAACAAATGGAAGACCATTGACTTGTTGACTTACCTGCCCTGGTCTCTCTCAAGCTAGAAAACACAAGTTAATTAAGAGAGAATTGAATTAATCAACTTTGGAAATTCTAGTTTCCCCATGCAACAGAAAACAAGACTTGAACTTTGATTTATGAGCAGGAGCTCCTTAAATCAAAAACCTAAAAGAAAAATGAAATTTATGCTTAGCCAAAACAATTATATTCATTAAGAGTGATAAGAACAAAATCAAGATTAATTCAGCTGAAGAAAAATGAAAACTATCAGGAGAAATTGGTCCATGCCTTCTGGTTCTTCCATCTGAATTTTAAAACCTTTCTGCTTGTATACATTAATGGCTGAAATGGAACACATAGATTGAACAATAATGTCAGCTGGGAACATAAAAGAATTAAAAGGATGCATTAATTTATTGTAGGTACACCATATATGATATCTTCTCCAGATTTTAACGTGAAGGCCATTGAGTTGTTAAGATAAGAAAGGAATTTATTGTAGGTGGAACATGTATACATGAATGGACAACTTCGTGATCACCACAAATAAAGAAAGAATCTAATTAATTTATTGTAAGAACACTATGTATATAATGACAACTTGGTGACCATAAGTTGGAATTTTCTCCAGATTCCTTGTTTCTCCTGTAGGTATGTATATTTTCTAAAAGATATTGGATTGTAGAACTTAATAATGTGCACTAAACTCTTCTAAAGGAAAATAAAGAAAAAACGGTGGAACAGTCCAACGAACATCCCATAAAATCATTACTACCAAAGGTCATAAAGCTTAAAGCTTTCATAACACTCTCTCAATGTAATAGGGAGGGAATCTAACCAAGAAAAGAAAGAGAAACACCCAATTATAGCATTTGGTGACTAATCCGCTAAGGTCAAACTGCTGAAGGCTGTCAAAAAATTATTAGGGACCAATGGGAACTATTCAGATTAAATAAACACTTCATTGTAAGGTTTGTAGATGTTGCAATACCGAGGTTAGGAAGAGAAGGTTATTTTGCTATT